CGAAAATAGGGTTTTGATTACCCGCCCCGTCGCAAGCATCGCAACGAATTCCCTTCTCACCACGCTAGAGAAAAGCGTGCATGAGTTGGTTGTTCGCCGCGTTGCAAGCGCCGGGATCGAGTTCTCGGAGTTTAGAGTTTAGGAGCTTATACCTTAGCGTGGTCGACGACGTTGGCACGAGGATCGAGGTAAGAGAGAAGTATTTTTGTATTTCTCTTTTTTTTTAATAATAATTAATTGATAATTATAATTATACTTAAATAATTATATTTATTTAAAATTAATTAGAACTAATCAATATTAATTAATCTTAAATTAATTAATATTAATTAATTTAATTAATAATAAATAAGTAATAATTAATTAAGATAAATATAATTAACATTTAATTAAAGTTGCTCTTAATTACATATATATAATAAAATAAAAATAAAAGATTAATCCCTCTCTCCCTCCCTTACTCTCTGTTTTCGGGATTTGGCCGCAGAAGATCACGAACGGGAGAAAGTTAACTTCACGCCCGCGAGCTCCAGTTCTGCTTCCGATCGAAGAGGGGGGAAGCCGGAGAAGTCAAACAACAACAAAGAAACCGGAGAAGCACACGAAATGGAGAAAGTTACCCTCACTGCCCGCGAGTTCCCGTCTTGTTTCCGATCGAAATGTTGAAACTTTCGATCCTACAGGTAGGAAGCGGCTCGGAGAGAGGGGAAGAAGCGCACAAAAGGTAGGAAGCTGTCTTCACAGCCGGCGAGCTCCCGCTCTGCTTCCGATCAAAACTGTCGCAGCCTCCGATCCGTCCAGGAAGAAGACAGAGAGGGAGGTGTCGGAGAAGAGGGAATTCGCGTGAGAGAGCTTCGGCCGTGGAGAAGGTAGCGAATGGAATGGTCTTGGAAGCAGAGAGCTCGTCTCCCTCTTATAGACTCAAATGGGAGTCGATCGAAGCCGTCTTCGCAGGATTCGCGGAGAAGCGACGCGAACGGCGCCGAACCAGTACGAGATTACGGGATTTTCTGTTTGAGTTCAGCGGGATTTCAGCGGAAAATCGGGATGGGCTTTGGCTGTTACAGCTAATTAGCCCCCTTTTTTTATTTCTCTATTCTTGTTTCAATGGCAGAGGTCAACACTAACGAACTACAAACCTTTTATGATCATACCATGTTTCTTTTTCTAATTCCTAACAGATTATATTTAAACAAAAATTTCTGAAAGCTTAGATCTAAATCATTTGGCCAAGCAAACAGAACATTGTTGAACAATGAGAAAAAGTTGGGTTTTGCCAAAATCAATATAAAGTAAAATCAGTGATTAAAAGAAGCATTAAATAGCATGAATTCCCACTGAATCAATTCATGAAATGTCAATCAACGGAAAATAATTCCTTTTTTGTCAAGTTGATTTTATGGGGAACAATCCAAAAAATGTATAGATTATTTGTGCTGAAGAAAAACAAAGTCTTAATCAGTCAGTGCTACACAAGCAGATTGCAATTTCCAATCAACTGAGCGCCTGTAGTATGATGAGTATGGATTAACCTTTGCCATGCTGATCATAGAAAGAGCTACGGAAAATCTCTACACCAAGACGTTTTAGCGGTGCACTTTAAGATATCCACTCTCCTCATGAGTCTGCAGAGGCTATCTAGTTTTTGGCACTTTTCATAAAGAAGTAGGTGTGTGTTCTTAAGTTTTACCTCAATGATGCAGCTTTGAGGCTAGTGGTTTTGCTGCAGATGAGAGAAGCCATCCAAGGACTTTAGAAATGTATGGGTGTGAGCAAATATATATTATCAAACATAATTTTGTTATCAAAGAAATATATGGAAAATGAAAGAAAATTGCTAAATATAATTGGAGTGAGATAAACATTTCCATATCTGATTCTCTTTTTAATTTTAGTATTGATATATCTCACCTAGCCTTAAATGCTTGTTGATTTTGGAAATCATCTTTACTTCAAATTGGTAAATTTGTTTTAGAATCTCTATCAATCATCTTTGTTTGAATTTGCTTTACAACTGTCTATTGCAACTAGCAAGTTCATGTTGTAAATTTTTTTTAATCAAAGATGATAGGTTGGAACTATTAAAGGCACTTTATAAACATTTGTAGGACCCCTCTCTTCAAAAGGAGCCACTTGTTATATTTGGTCTAAAGGGTTCACCATTACGTGGAATAAAGGAGGTACGCACTCTTAATTTCCATATTGATGCATATATTTAGTTGCTTTAATTTTAACTTATTGGTATTCCTGAAAGCAAAATATCTTTTTCAGCACATTGCTTTTTATTTTATTTTTATTCAGTGCCAGAAATATCTATTATCTCTAGTACATGTCAATATTTCATCTAGATACGAGCTCTCTCCGTGGAGAGAGGGGAGCAAATTTTGTCTTATTGAACTGGTGACCCTGGATTTTCCACAGGCTGTCGATCTCTGTGGGCGTAAGAAACTTTTAGGTCTAGCATCATGGAAAACTAGGTGACTTGGGCTGAATACACAAGTGTAAAATGCTAGGGTTTAGAGGTTAATGTATGATCTTTCAAATATTGGAGAAAATTTTCCGAGAAATAGAAGAGTCAACTTATTTTAATTTTTTTGTTGATTAAAATCTTTGGATATAATATGTGGGGCACATGAAAGGACGATGTTGAAAATCAAATAAATAAAAGTTGCAAGTCTTAGTATCATCATGATAACCAATAATTGATTACATTAATTCATACTTCTGCCTTCTTTTTCTTTTCAGTTTCCTATATAATTGAAGTAATAAAGATCTAATGAGAGTCGATCTAGCATCACTCAATTTTTCCCCTTAAGATATACTAAACTATTATTATATATACATCGTCATGTGCATCTAGAGCTTTATGCGGTTAAATTGACCCTGATTTACAATTCTATGCTTACTCCAGTAACTTAATGATGTTAATGTTGTTTTTCTTGAACAGGCTCATTTAAGCGGAGCTCTTATGCGAGTTGTTAATGGCAAAGGCAATATATTCCTCACAGCTACAGTTTCTGGAGAAGGTCTCTTTCTGGCAAACTTTTCAAATTTTTTTGCTTTTTCTTCATATAAGTCAATTATCAGATTCTGTAAGATTAACTCTGGCATGAAGCGTCTTTTTACCCAACCAAACTTCATTTCATGGTAAATATTTGCTATCTTGTAGTCCAAATCGTTTTGCATAAGCTGATGATTTTCAGTCAATGATCAGAAGAAAATTGTAAAATTATGATCCTTCAACATAATACCCCTCAATCCCTGGAAAAATTATTCCATCAGGTTACCTGACGTAGAGCTACATCAGGTAGCCTATAATATGTCGCCACGTGCACTTAGTCTTTACCGCGCGGCCCGACGACCCGACCCGGAACGGACCCGGGAGTTTGCGTAGCTCGGTATTGCTAGGTATTGATCGATTTTGCTCAACAAAAATGAAAAATACTATTTTGTGAAGACCAATATCGAGCAATACCGAGCAATACCGAGTTCTTTAAGGTATTACTCGGTATTGCTCGGTATTACTCTTCACATAGCGGTATTTCTCGTTATTACCCAGCAATACCGAGTAATACCTAGCAATACCGAGCAAATACCAAGCAATACGCGAACATAGTAATCCCGGATTCGGTCCGAGTCGGATCGTCGGGCCGCGCGGTAAAGAGTAAGTGCACGTGGCGACATATTATAAGCTACCTGATGTAGCTCTACGTCAGGTAACCTAACGGAATAATTTTTCTAATCCCTGTGCCGAAAAAGTGAAGTGACATAGTTCGATGAAGTGAAAGACTTCTCCTACTGAAAGCTTAAACTGAATGAAGGATTTTTTTTTTGAATTATGATTTAGCAAGGCCCATTTGAATACCTACTTTCATGGTTTATAGTGCTGGACTTTTTTAAATTTTGACTAGTCAAAATGGTTTGAAATGAACGGTCGTTTGGAAAATAATTTATCAAGATTTTTTATAAACTTGCATGTCTTTGGTGGTATTTCATGTATTTCAACTCAGTAGGATAAGAAAGCTATGAATAACCAGTTTTAGTGGATGATTTCTTTTTTTTATCTAGATGAGCATGGGATCATCAGAACTTAACCAATATTACAATCAGTTAGAAGTCTGTTAATTAGTGGCACATGGATGTGGCCCTTTTGAACATGTCCTGGAAAACGAAAAAAAAATCCATGAAATATAAAAATTATTATAGAAGGTAAATTATTAGAAACAATTTCAAATTAGCAATTTTGTCATAATTGTACCGTTCAATAGTTTACCATTAGAGTTTTAAGCAGAAATTTGAATAACTTCCTGCTTTGTAATTCTTAATACTCAGTTCACTGGTCAAATGGATGATGTCAGAATGCCGAGAGCATTTTCCAGTTTTTTTACCATCTGTCTAGAATCTATTTCCTTAAAGAAAGCTGAATTTTTATTTAATTGTATGGTCGTCTAAAAGTATTTGATTGCATTCCACTCTTCCTACCTGTCATAGCCAGCCATCCGCTCACTTTCTAAGTGGTAAGTGAGGTTCTCTCCTGCCAATCTTTCTATTCATGAGTCCATGATGAAAGAAATGTTCAAGGAAAGTGCAAAGCAAGTGCAAGAATCTAATCTAGCAAAGATTCTTTTCTTTGTTATAAGGAGGTTATTTCACTTAAACCGTTAGATCCACATCTTATCTTATTGCTCTTAACTCAAATTGGTTATGCAATCTTAACTTCATTAATATAAGCCCCACTTCAAAGAGATCAGACCAACAACTTCCAAAGCTTTGTAAAACCCTCAAAATGCTATTTTAGACCTCGCACGCTTTTCGATGCGTCGCGATGAGTTTTAAGTAGCCGACCCCATGGAGAAAAATGATTCATGTAGCCGACCCCACGTAGTGGGATAAAGGCTTGATGTTGTTGTTGTTGCTGCTGCGATGAGTTTTAAGTGAAAATTTCAAAGTTGTTGGATTTTGACGAATTTAGTTTTATAAAAATCTATGCAAAATTCTGAGCGATTTGATATATAAAACCTATATCTAATTTCGTTTAATTAGGGAGATAAAAATTAAACAAATCTCATAATACCCATTATACCCCTTGTATGTAATAAAGTTTGGATGGTTTAAGTGAGGGAAAAATTGGCATTATGAAAATCCCTTTCTCTTAAGGCGGTCCCCATTTCATTTCTTCCGCCCGAACGCACGAAGAGGAGGCGTCCTTGGCTTGGGCGGACGGGTAAGGGGGATGGACGGCTCCGACGACGGTTTTCCGGCGAGGAAATTCGTGGAAAATGTAGAGGAGACTAAGGGATGGCTAAGGTATGCATTAGAATTTATATTTCTCCACTTTTCTCAAAGATTTTTGGATGAGAAGAATCTAGGGTTTGAGGGGAAACTTTGATTTTCTTTAAGAGAATGATAGGATAGGTTTAAGATGCTTTTATGCTTGGAAATGGGGTTTTCTTCAAAATTTTTGAGATTTGGAAAGTTAGGGTTTTGCAAATTTTTTATTTCCATGAAAATTCCTTAATATATAATATTTCTATTGGTCTTAACGATGTTTTTAAGGGTAGGAATTAGGAGTTTTCATGAAATATTATTATTCCTAATTTTAATATAATTTAAATCCGAAAATTAGTTTTCCAAAAATATTAATTTGATGAATGAGAAGTTTAAGATGCAAAAATAACAATATTAATGAAAATGTGTTTTCCAAATTTAGGGTTTTAGGTTAAAACCGAAAATAGAAGTTAATTTAAATTATTTTGGTTAGGGTATAGGAATTTTTGGCAAGTGTAATAATAAAAATATTATGAAAATTAGAGAGTGAGTGTAAGAGAAAGAGAATTTAAGAGTAGTTTACAATGAGAAAAAATATTTAATTTAGATTTATTTTATAGATTTTTAAGGAGAAATTTATGTTTATTGGTGATAATCGTGGTGACCTCGAAGGAAGGAGGATTGGCAAAGAGAATCAAATTCTTAATTTCTGTAAGTATACATGGTTCTTTAATTACAGTAATGTCTTTTGTTTCTCTCCAGTTATATATTTTGAATGTTCAAGCATGCTTATGAAATCTTTATGATTAATTTAGAACATGATTTTGTTACTTTTGTCAAATGGTTGATCATGCAAATTACATGTTACATTTTATGACATTATATGATAAAGTTTGTGTTATATGAAATGAAATGATATGAGATGATAAGAATGTTATAATGAATGCTTGTATGTGCATGCTGAATAGATGGAGCTCACCCCCTTATGATACTAGCTGGGGACGTTGTACTCGTGCACGTTAAAATGGTTAAGGATATAGAAAAAGAAAATGGTAAAGGAGTACCTTATGGTACTAGACGGTGGCTCCTGTGACGGTTGTAATATATACGAAATGAGAAAACTAAGTATATTGTTATGAATATGGAAATGAAAATGAAAGATATGGATTCATGATATGATATGTTTAATGACATGTTTGTAAGAAATCGATTTATGTTATGTTCATATAAAATGTGACATTTAGCATATATGCAATTTGCCTTGATTAATGTAGTTTAAAATCGTGTTTTACTTACTGAGCTTCGGCTTATTGTTAGTTGTTAACATTTTTCAGGTAAGTTTAAATAAATCAAAATGAGTAGAAGAGGTGCAAATGTATATTGTAGGAGAGGCGCTTCTGAAGAAATGTTATTTTATGAATCTACTTGAGGTTATATTTATGTGCTTTAAGTTTTATTATTTTAGTAGCTCTTTCAAATATTTTGGAGATTGATTTAGAGAGTTAGATATTTTAGTCTTCCGTTCCGGCCTCGCCTATGCGAGCTCACCGGGCCGGGTCATGACATGTGTGGTCCCCCAAATTTGGTATTAATTATTGGTAAATCTAACTTTCTGATATTTTAAACTTATCTCAACTGAAGTTATAGTTAGAAAATTACTTATAGAAGAACTTATAGGAAAATGTGTTGCTTTCCTTGTGTTTGTGATGATGACATCAAGACATGGAAAGTTTACTAGAGGCGTGGCCGTCGATCTACAGCCACAATTACATCGCTCTACTTTTAATTTTCATATTTATTATTAATGTATTATTTTTATTTTATGAAGTTTTATTATGCTTTTCATTTTTGCCCTTACTTAAGGGCTTAGGTATGTGTAAGCCCAATGGGCATTATAGTACTTTGTATTTTCTCATTATATGGGCTATTTAAAGCCTCCCTCTTCTTCTTTGAGGGGTAATGAATGAATGAATGATAAGAAAATTCCTGCATATGTGTTCTTTCAGTTGTGAGAGTTCTAGGAGAGAGCTTTAGAGAAATCCCTAGGGAGGGAACACGGATCATCCGCCAACCTTGGAGACGGCCAGTTTCGTTGCTTGTATTATCAGTTCTTTCTTTCTATCCTCCCTTCTTACTCCTTCAAGTTTCCACTGCCGACCATATCCTCACCCCACCACCGGCTTAGACCCTCTTCTCCACCCCCACATAACCGTCGGCCCCCAAGATAGTTTCCTTAATTGGGTGACCCATCCGACCCCTCCACCTCCACCAAACATTAGCCTAGCTGCTGGTTTCCCCCTCACCCTTGCCTCCAAATTTCTAATTTCCACTTGAATACTTTCCTTTCTTGCTTAGCTCCTCTTGGGAAAGTCATTTACTTTCAATCAGTTAATTTAAATTTGAAATTTGAATTTTTTCCTAAAATAGAATCCTATTTTAGGAAAGTTTCTAAAATCAAATTCAAATTTAATTTGATTTGGATTGGATATTAAATCCTATGTCCTAATTAGTGAATCCCAATGAGGAAAGCATTAAACCTCATTTAATCCCTCCAATCCCCTCCCTATGCCGCCGGCCCCTCTTGGTTCTTTGTGGAATTATTTCCAAAAACAATGCTCTCTCTTGGAAACAATTCAAATCCCTCCATTACTTCTTTCATTTTCCATACAAATCATTTTGGGAAAGCAATCAATCCAATCAACCAATCAATTTTTGAAATTCAAATTGTTTCCTAAATAAAGATCTATTTTAGGAAACT